GCGGCGTCCGGGGCGGCGTTGAGGTCGGGGGCGGGGCGGCGTTGAATCTGGGGTCGGGGGCGGCGTAGAGGGTGTGCGGAGAGCGCGCAGCGGCCGAGGGGCGACGGCGGCGGCGAGAGTGGAGTTGGATTTGGGGGATGAAGTGGCCGTGGGGAAGGACGAACCGCGTGGTTAAGTCAAAAGTACCAGTAGCGCGTTCCAGAAAGGGCGCTACTGCTACGTTAGCTACAACGCGTTCTGGAATACACGCTACTGGTACACCATTCTCTTTTTTTCCCTTTTTCATTTAGTTTTCTTCACATTTTTTTCCTTTCACCTTATTCTATTTCTTTCATTTTCAATTACCTTTCTATTTGCTTTCCATTTAATTTTATATCCTCTATCAGCAGCGAGTTTAGACTAAAACGCGCTGCTACAAAGAAAGTAGTGGTAGCGCGGTTCGTTATAGGTCGCTGCTACTATGTGTAGCCTATAGGCTAAGCCGTGGGAATTTTAGTAGTAACGTGTTTAGAGGAAGACGCGCTACTGCTAGAACTTTATCTGCAGCACAGTTTTCGCAGACTCGCTACTGCTACTTATCACCAGCGTGCTTTTTTGACCCTCGTTGCTGCTAAAGTTCTGTGTATAAGGTTTTTCCCTAGTAGTGAGTTGGAGCAACTGCTCTGTTCTTCGTGGTGGGGGCGGATGGGTGGGGGAAAAGGGGGTGGGGGCGGCCGGCCCGCGGTTTATATATGTCCACACCCTACACCCAGAGACTCCGGCGGTAGGTTCAGACATCCTACCGCCGGGCGGAGCGGCGGTAGGGTGTGACAGAGGGGGCATAGAGACCGTTATCGTTGCTGACATGGACAAGTTTGCTACCGCCGCAGGTCTCAGTGGTAGGCTATAGGATCCTACCGCCGTGCCTCGTGGAGGTAGGGGAAAGGGTCAAATCTTGAAAAACTTTCAAACTAGGCTCAGATCTCGATTTTGTTTGACAAAAGGGTCAAAACACGAAATTTTGCCTCGACAATACGCACGTGGTCAGCTAAAAAGAGATACAAACGTGGCAACGGCACAGCCGAGGTAAAACAATCCAAGCACAACGGAACATACCACTGGGCCGTCACGGCAGCACAATCTTGCCGTTATAAGTCGAACAGTGAAGAAATTAGATGGGATATGAATTAGCAAAACTTTTAATTAAAACTATTTAAGAAAGATTCACAAAATCCCTACTTTAATACTAAAAGGTATACATTATATAAGCGTTTCTACAAACAGTATGCATGACTTACGGTGAAGTTGCGAATACAGTCTTATTTTCACTGTTCTCTGGAAAAGAAATGTTGACATCTAGGTATCAGTCTATATTAGTGGACATATAGGGTCCGACATCGGCCATATTGGTCGAAAATTCGGTCTATATGGGATGATATATGTGTAAAAATGATATTTACAAAACGATAGGTTATATCTATGTTGGTAGACCCCCAAACTGATATATCGGTTGCATCGGCTTTGATTTTGAAGCATGGAGGTAACCATGCCCATCTTTAACAACAAGCGCCTTGTATCTGGATATGCAGGGGTACCTACAAACTAAGTGGCAAAAAAAGCAACCCTTATTTCAGCAGCCACCACTTGCAGGTTCAATTGAGCTTCGGAGGCCATTGCCTCTCAGCGCTGTGCAGTGCTCCTCCGCTTCAGGCTGCGAGCAGACAATAACTACTGCCATCCCATTCACGTGTGCCTCTTGCATGATATTAACAGCATTGTCTACGGTCATCCCAGGGATAACCTTCATCAGGACTTGGACAACATACTCTCGCCTGTTTTCATTGTCATTGTGCAGGACGACGCGGAATGGAGGTGACATCTTCCGGGATTTCCTGCAAGTGAAAAAGGATGCGAGAATATCTTGGTGTTCTAAGATTATAACCAATGCAAGTAAATGTGCCAAAACTTTCACCCAAAATATGGGCAGATGACTTGAAATTAGTTTATCAGATCTCAAAGTTGAACCCAGTAATACTGCAGATCTATCAGTTTTATTATCCTACTTATTTTATTGCCTCATATTATGTTAGCTCAAGCGTGTGGCTTACTGTCAGATCTTATGTATCACTTTTTTCTGCCATTTTTTGTGATTTATTATACCTAGTAATATATTTTATAATCCAACGAATAAGATGGCAACTGAATGTTAATTATTTCAATTTCACAACAATAAAGGAAAAATCAACAATCATATGATGAAAGATTGAACACATATCATTTTTGTTCAAGCAATAATGCCTTGCAAAATAAACCACGAGATAATCCTCCTCATGGCTAATGGCCATTGCTGTTTCACGAAAAGTCAAGCTAGGCTCATTGACCTGTCATTGTTCCTTATGTCCTATACGACAAGACATTAAATATGAATATTGCAACCCTGAAATTGAAATGTGCAGATTTTTCTTTAAAACGAGGCAATGCTTAGATGCCTATATCTGGTACTAGAACAACGTGCCTACATCTGGCACTAAAACAGCACTCCTAAACGTACAACCCACCCCACACAAGAAACTTCATACTGATAGTTCTAACAGTAAACAGGACGGGAAATATGGCATTCAGGACAACATCCCTACAGTAAAGGCATTTCGAGTCTTCACTGGGACCACCATATGTGCAATGCAGATTATTAACTTCATGACCAGTTGACATAACTTGACAAGTACAGTTATATATTGATGAAAACAAAAACATATATGTAGTTATAAAACAGCTAAGCTAGATAAACTAAAGACCCCAGCTGCTCTGAATAACTGTGGTTCATGATTTTGCCTTGTGAAGAAATAATCTGGCTTTGTGCTCTGGCAGTAATAACAATGACTGTGGAGTGGTTAAGTATTGGACGTTTCAAGTGAAGCAGCTCACACCACTAGGATTAATAACATTCTTATTTGTTTGGCATCACCTGAAGTAGTATATTGTATTTTTCAGTTTCCATCAGTAGGTGGGAAATTACACTCAACTTGGCAGGGTTTAGAATCTATTTCTGAGATCTGAACTGATACTGTAAAATTAATCTATCCACTTTTTTCGAACAAAAGACATATCCAGTTCTTGGAATTTGCACTTATAAAAAATATTTATGCATAGGCCAGGGGGAAACCGTATTTTTCGGGAAAAGAAGGAAAATATTCAAAATTAACAGAAATAGACTTACTTCTTATCGAATTCAAATTGACGGCCAGGAGAAACTTTCTCTGCTGGTCGATCAAGCACACCACCACCTTTGCCTGGTGCAGCTGCTGTGATTACAATGGGGGTGGCATCGTTTGTCTGTAGAAAGAACATGCATTTCCTGCGAACATGGACAACCAAAAAGAAAGATGAAAAAAAATGCTGCAAGGGCAAACACGGATAAAGACTGCATAACAAACAAATCTTTCAGCAATATATATTTTTTCCAAGAATGAATCTTCCATCTAAACTAAAAGTTCTTGAAGGGGTTTGTAACAGCTCTTGCTCACAGTTCAAGCTCAGCTTTGTCCTCACTTGTCATGACTAAAAACTGAAGGGGTTTCAACGCCATACATTTGAAATGATGAAAGCCACTGTTTCGATTGCACAAGTCCTTGAACAAGAGTGGACGAGTACCAAAAACACAGTACATCAAAAAATAAAAAGAAAAAGAAAACAAGGGGTCTGTTGAATTTCAAGTATCCAGTTTCACCAATAAGATACCGAGACTTGCTTCACATTTGGAATCACACAAAAAAGATACTTCATCGCGGAAAGAGGTCTACGAAGACTTGGGCAAACATCGACGTTCGCTGGCTCATTTGGCAAAGAAAATAGAGTGCGTGATAATTAATCAATCAGTGAAAAATTCAGGAGCAGCAATTCAACCATTCGAGTGTTTCTGTGAATCTTTTTAATAACATTATAGTAGTATTAGACTTTGTATTTTGATGAGCCTCAACCGAAGCAAGCTGCAGACAACAACAGCTATTTGAACAGGGTGAACCCTCTCTTCCTATTGACAATACAGCAACAGCAGTTCCTTATAATGAAATTGATGAATTATGGCCAAATCTCGCAGCGATTTTCAAGAAAAGTGACGCCGAAAATCGATAACGGCAGCCGTTACTCCCGGAAAAGCTTTCAAAGCTATCACTAAACTGGAATCGGGGAACCTAACCTATTCACCTGCTGTTCTACAACAGAATCTAATATATTCACCTGCTGTTGTACAACAGAAACCCCAATCCACCAAGTGTGAGGGTGGCCGTACCATCCAAATAATCCCAGAAAACAGAAAACATCCAGGGAAGAAAAAGAGAGGGGCGCGGTCGTACCTGCCACACCGCGGTTGTTGGGGGAGCGGTTCGTGGAGAGGGCGATACAGGGCGGAGGGGAGGCCGGCAGGAGAGCATCCTGGCAGCATAGCGGGCGGGGCGGAGGCTGAGCCGGCTGCCGGAGGCCGGGGCGCAGGGGGGGCGACGAGGTCGGGGGGCTCGCGGCGCGCTCGGGCGGGGGATGCCGGGAGGGCGGCCGGCCAGCGGTGGAGGAGATAATGCAGGCGAAAGTGCGGTTCTTTTTTGTGTTGGAGGGAGGAGATAATGCAGGAGAGAATGTACGGTGGCTGTGACCTGTGAGACTGTGAGGCGGCAGTAGGAGCGCTCGCCAATGAGCCGGCCCAGCGCGCGGGGCCTTAAGCGCCAGTTTTTCGTTTTCTTCTTTATTTTCTTCACTTTTCTTTATATTTGGAATATATATATATATCATTTTAAATATGTTTTTGAAAAATTTAATCATGAATTTTAAAAAATGTTAAACATGTACAAAAAAATTTGGATCTCAAAAGTAGAGAAAGTAGATCTCAAAATGCATTGGAAAAAAATGTTAATCATGCATTTGGAAATTGTTAAACATGTACACAAATGTTTCAAATGACATGAAAAGTGCAAAACATGTATGAGAAAAGGTAGATCGCAAAACATAGATTTGTAAAAATGTTAATCATGTATTTTTTTTAAATGTTAACCATCTATAAACAAATATTCCTGATGTAAAAAAAGAAAGTACAAGGTGTATGTAAAATGTACAATGTGTATGAAAAAGGTAGACATCAATACATAAAAATCACGGTTAACCTCACGTCGGCACGCAAGCTTTCCTTCGCCGACGGCGAGATCCGACTCCGACATGACACGCTCCGGATCACCCTGAGTGATGAGACGGGGGTGAAGGTCGACGGGCGTTATCTCCGGGACGGCGAGCGGCTTGACATCGGGCAGCCCGTTTCGTTCCCATGCCACATCGCCAGGGTGCGGGACCGGATTCCGGTGGGGCACACGGCGGCGCTGAGTCAGATCCATTCGTGCGATGGTGCGGATGGTGTACCGCGGTACAGCGCGGAGACGTGGCGGCAGGGCCAAGGCATCCTTGGCCACACCCAGGCGCGGGCGAGGCTCCCGCCATGGATGCGCGACACGTGGACGAGGATCCCGGGCGCCATAGCGGGGAGACGAGGCGCGCGACAGGTATAAGAGCCCATCCCGCCTCCACCCGTGACCTAGACGCCGCGTTCTCTCACTTCTGGGAGGCCCCGCGAAACCCTAGATCCAAAATTTCCTCCTCTTTTCTGTGGTGGGAGGGGAAAGTTGGAGGGGACTGCAGATCCTTTGCGGCGGTGGTGGCCTCCAAATCGAGCGCTCCGGAGGCGATGGAGGACCGCGGGGGTCGTTTCTTCCACAGCAATCGAAGGGAAGGCTTCAGGGCTGGGCGATTCGGGCGCGGTGCCAGGCGTTTCGATCGGGGCCGTGGTCGGTGCCGCTTCTCGTGGTCCAGGGAGGCGGTCGGCGACGACCTCTCCATGAACAAGCAGACGGCATCGGCCTCGGACGACACCACGCGCTGGGATGACATGGCGGAGCGAGCCAAGAGGGCCAAATCTGGGGGTGTGGGTGGAGAATCATCCGAACCCTAATCCCCCTGGTCTCGACATCGACAACGCTCCCAGGAAGAAGTAGGTCCCTGACGCTGCGCAGCGGGCTGAATCTTCTACCTAGGTGCCTCCTACCAAAAACTATGATCCATGTCTGATCTGCAAATCCACTAGTCATACTCCTGCTAGTTTCTCGCAAGATTTTTGTGAGAGATGCAGTAAGACGGGGCACTTGGCTTCGATTTGCGCTAGTTTCTGCCCTGGGAATGTGTGGCTCCTATGTGCGTTTTCCAGGGCAAAGGCCAGGGTTTCTTTTACATTCCAAGTTCGTGTACTGCTAAGCAGCTTAAGGAACGTGCCACAAGTGTGGTGATTACGGTGATTGAGGGAGAAGCTAATGTGAAGGAGCTCGAAGATGCATTTTCTAATTATATTGGGACCAAGTGGCATTGTACTACTCATCCTATAGGTCCTAATACTTATGTTATGCGTTTCCCTAATTAGAGAGATGTGAAAAAGGCCTGTTATAATGACATAATGACTTTAAGGTCTTGTGGAGTAGTGGTTAAGATCGTCCCCTGGTCTGCTAATGTGGTTGCTTGGGTGAGAGTGGCGAATGTTCCTTTTGAACGAAGAAATGCGAGAAATGTGGCTTTTGTCTCATCTTTGGTTGGCGTTCCACTTGAAATCGACATGGCCACTCTGCACAAACCTGAATATGTGCGAGTCCGGCTGGGATGTCGCAATGTGGATGAGCTACCTGGCGTGGCCGAAGCTGTCCAGAGAACGCACTTTTTTGATATCTACCATGACATTGAGAAAGTTTTGGTCAGAGAACCTGAGAGATCGAGCAATGTGAACCTGGTTGAGTCGGCTAAAAAGGCTCATCCCATGGGAAACAATTTGCTCGAGCCACTCCTCATGATACTGAGAAAGGAAAAGAGGGGGGCTTATATGAACAGTACAGGTGGAAAACATAACCGCAGTGATAGTATGGAATAGGGGCAGGAGGAATCAGATGGAACTGAAGATGATACTCTATTGATTGATTCAATTGCCAAGGAGGCTTGTGAAAGAGAAAACCTGGGTGGGTCTCAAGCACTACTTGTTGTTGATAACAACAGGTTGAATGTGAATGAGATTCAGGTAGAACAAATGATGCTCGAGTCTATTGCTAATGTGATACTAGCATGGTTGATGAAAATTCCCAGGTGGGAGAGATGATGGATGATGATACTAGCAAGGTTGGGGCGCGCTCTAAGTACATGGTACAGTTCCTTGTCTCTTCTGATGAAGTGGAGGAGGTGATCCCTACCCCTCCACTTAGATCTGAGGATGCACGGAGATTCACTATAAGGAATATGCAGAATATGGGTGACAAGATCCAGGATAGAGTTGTTGCAATTTCAAAGAAGAGAAACTTGGAAGGTAATTGCAATTTTAATTCCTTTGATGTCCTTTCTGATAATGATCTTATGATTAGAGCATCAAAATGAAGGAAATATGCCCTAGAGGAAATAATAAAGTTATTATTTATTTCCTTATATATCATGATAAATGTTTACTATTCATGCTAGAATTGTATTAACCGGAAACATAATACATGTGTGAATACATAGACAAACAGAGTGTCACTAGTATGCCTCTACTTGACTAGCTCGTTGATCAAAGATGGTTAAGTTTCCTAGCCATTGACATGGGTTGTCATTTGATTAATGTGATCACATCATTAGGAGAATGATGTGATTGACTTGACCCATTCCGTTAGCTTAGAACTCGATCGTTTAGTATGTTGCTATTGCTTTCTTCATGACTTATACATGTTCCTATGACTATGAGATTATGCAACTCCCGTTTACCGGAGGAACACTTTATGTGCTACCAAATGTCACAACGTAACTGGGTGATTATAAAGGTGATCTACAGGTGTCTCCGAAGGTACTTGTTGGGTTGGCGTATTTCGAGATTAGGATTTGTCACTCCGATTGTCGAAGAGGTATCTCTGGGCCCTCTCGGTAATGCACATCACTTAAGCCTTGCAAGCATTGCAACTAATGAGTTAGTTGCGGGATGATGTATTACGGAACGAGTAAAGAGACTTGCCGGTAACGAGATTGAAGTAGGTATTGAGATACCGACGATCGAATCTCGGGCAAGTAACATACCGATGACAAAGGGAATAACATATGTTGTTATGCGGTCTGGCCGATAAAGATCTTCGTAGAATATGTGGGAGCCAATATGAGCATCCAGGTTCCGCTATTGGTTGTTGACCGGAGACGTGTCTCGGTCATGTCTACATAGTTCTCGAACCCGTAGGGTCCGCACGCTTAACGTTTCAATGATAGTTATATTATGAGTTTATCTGTTTTGATGTACCGAAGGTTGTTCAGAGTCCCGGATGTGATCACGGACATGACGAGGAGTCTCGAAATGGTCGAGATATGAATATTGATATATTGGAAGCCTATGTTTGGATATCAGAAGTGTTCCGGGTGAAATCGGGATTTTACCGGAGTACCAGGAGGTTACCGGAACTCCCCGGGAGGTTAATGGGCCATAGTGGGCCTTAGTGGAAGAGAGGAGAGGCGGCTAGGGCAAGGGTCGCGCGCCCCTCCCCCCTAGTCCGAATAGGACAAGGAGAGGGGGGCGGCGCCCCCCCTTTCCTTCTTCTCCTCCACCTCTTTCCCCCTCCACTCCTAGTCCAACTAGGAAAAGGGAGGGAGTCCTACTTCCGGTGGGAGTAGGACTCCTCCTGGCGCACCCCCTCTAGGCCGGCCGCACCTCCCCCCTTGCTTCTTTATATACGGGGGCAGGGGCACCCCAAAGACACAACAATTGATCGTTTGATCTTGTACCCGTGTGCGGTGCCCCCCTCCACCATAGTCGACCTCGATAATACTGTAGCGGTGCTTAGGCGAAGCCGTGCATCGGTAGAACATCATCATCGCCACCACGCAGTCGTGCTAACGAAACTCTCCCTCAACACTCGGCTGGATCGGAGTTCGAGGGACGTCATCGGGCTGAACGTGTGCTGAACTCGGAGGTGTCGTACGTTCGGTACTTGATCAGTCGGATCGTGAAGACGTACGACTACATCAACCTCGTTGTGCTAACGCTTCCGCTTTCGGTCTACGAGGGTACGTGGACAACACTCTCTCGTCTCATTGCTATGCATCACCATGATCTTGCGTGTGTGTAAGAAACTTTGTGAAATTACTACGTTCCCCAACAGTGGCATCCGAGCCTGGTTTTATGCGTAGATGTCATATGCACGAGTAGAACACAAGTGAGTTGTGGGTGATATAAGTCATACTGCTTACCAGCATGTAATACTTTGTTTCGGCGGTATTGTTGGATAAAGCGGCCCAGACCGACATTACGCGTACGCTTACGCGAGACTGGTTCTACCGACGTGCTTAGCACACAGGTGACTGGCGGGTGTCAGTTTCTCCAACTTTAGTTGAATCGAGTGTGGCTACGCCCGGTCCTTGCGA